GAATCAAATGATACATATACAGATCGGAGACGTTCATTTAAATGTATGTAAACTGACAACAAAAAGTCATTGCATCATACACCTCTCCGAGTCGTACCATATTGAATTGAATCGTACTACAACAGAGTCGATCCAAATAGAATCCTTGCACTTTCACGTTGAACCGTCCTTGAATCATTTCACACTCCACATATCAAAAACTGAATCAAATTGTCTTTTGTGGAGAGAATTGACAGATTATTTCCTGGGGCACACCAAAGGATCTCTCTCACGGCACACTGGTTGGGAATCACCGCATTACAGCACTGATTTTCAACCATTGTGCTGCAGGAAGTCATCCGATTTCACAACACTGCTCCAAAAAGTTTAGTTTTTCTTTGTTCATCTATCTATGCTAGTAATGAAAAGTGAGAGACAGAACCACGCTCTTCCACTAGATGGCAGAAGGTACAAACAAACAGTTGTTTGCAAAACGATGCCAAATGACAGCGCTCCAGCCAAATTTGGTTTTGCAAAAATATACCGTATGTCGAATTCGTGATATTATCAGCAAATAACTGAGCATAGTGTCCGAAAAAATGTTTTGACTTTGCCTCATCTGTGATAATTAAACAAAATCCATTAATTACTTTGGTTAGGCTGTGAATTAACTGTCAAATGAAAAATTGGTGCCTTGACATTGGGAGTAAGGAAATGATTGATGCTCACCCTGGAACTTCTCTGTGGCGGACTCCCGGCTTGTCTGGTCACCGTGGATGTCCGGAAGACTGGCGATGAGTGCCTCGATCAGGTCCCGCTCACCGAAGCCCTCCAACACACAGGTTTTAGGCTCTCCTCCGTCCCCAGAGCAGCCCATTTCCATCTCCGTTAACTCGCCCTTGCTCGCTTCGTCGCCCCCGCACCCGACCTCCATCTCCGATAACACAATTTCGCCTCCCTCATCTCCCGAGCACGCAACTTGTGGCTTCAATGAAGCCATCGTGTGGAGGTTTGGCAGGCTCGGAGATGGGTGAGGTGGACGCTAGCTTGTAATTGTTAGCATTCGCGGCGAGCGAACAAAATTTAGGACGTGATAAAGCGGTTGTGTGTAAATTCATGTATATATTTGGTGATAAACCCCTCAGGCAGTATCTGTACGGTTTGGTTAAACGAAAATAACTTAAAAAACTGCAATGAATATGAAAAATCTCTAAAATTGCGTATATTCTCTTGTTAGCAATGCCCTGCCCCAGTACGGCAAGTCAAAAGGCTCAATTCCTGCGTCGTTACAAGCGCATGCGCCGATTCGGTAGCAAAACCAAAATGACGCCCTATCGTACTGAGCGAGGGAATGCCACGAAGCCTTCCAAACTTTTTTTTTCTTCAAAATGCTCACCTTTTTCGTGTTCATGACCTTTCCATAGATGCGCGTAAGTCATTCACACACGGGAGCAGTGTAAGTCTTTCATCTCTGTGATGGTACGCGTGCTCTTTGCGTGTCTTTTGCACGACAACATAATCAAGTGCTGACATCCAGTCAGCAAAGCCCCAATAATTAGAATAATATACACTCCCTGAAATTATTTGTTGAATTTAATATAATTTTCAAGATGAAAAAAAGAAAAAGGGATCTCCTCTCAAATTATTTATTGCTTCAAAGAAATGCCTGGTACACTGCAGTTCAGTAAATAAACTTGTCCACACGCATTTGTACAATTAAGGGCCTCTTCTGAAATAAATGCCTTACTTCAAATAAACACTGGCACTCTTTGGAGTTGAGTAAATAGATGGTAGCTAATCCATAATCAAGTATATGTAAAAAACAATGCATGCCTTGCTTCAACTGAATGCCAGTTGTTATCTGCAGTTAAGGAAATAGACAGTAGCCACTTCACATGGAAGCATTTGTGCAAATAATGGCTTTCTCTCAAACTAACTGCCTTACTTCAAATAAACTAAGCATGATTAATTTTGTAAATATAAAATCTTGAACACAATCTTCTTAAAATGAAGACAGTCACAATATAATAATAATAATAATAATACATTTCATTTATAAGTGCCTTTCAAAACACTCAAGGACATTTTAAAAAAATTCATGACATTTTACCTAAACATTTAGTAACATGTTACCTATGCAAAGTTTAAGACATGTTTAAGACTTTGTTACTTGAGCAAGTCCTTCATGACACTTATTGATGAGCCTCTGTAGCCACCGCCAAAGTGGTTCCAGTGATTCAGGTAGTTAAAGAGTTGGTACAGTTGGTTTCTCTGGGCAAAGCCGGGTGCCTTGGGAATTTTCTCGTGGTAGGCCGAGTAAAAGGAGCTGGTGAAGCCTCCGAACATACCGGCAATTCCCAACTCATGTTCGGAATGGCCATAGAAAGAAGAGGGGTCGAAGATCACCGGGCCCTCACTGGTTTCCGCCACATTGCCTCCCCACAAGTCCCCATGGAGGAGAGCCGGGAACACCTGCACGTCTCGGAAGAACTGAGGGATCTTCAGCTGTTAGACATATTTCGGGTTACCAGTGCGCGGCTTACTCGAGCAGTTGAGTAAACCGACTGCATGTGGAAACAAGCTTTTGTTATACAAGAATGGGAGCCACCTTTCAAATAAACGGTCAGTATTCTGTTCTCTTCAGTTGAAGTACGTAGAAAGTAGCCAGTCCATATGAAAACATTTGTGAATACAAGGGCACACTCTGAAATAAACACCTTGCTTCAAATGAATGCCTGATTGTCTCTGTCGTTGTAATTAGACAACGTGTTCCTACACAAACATTTGTGTGTACCAACGTCTCCTTCTAAATAGATGCCTTTGACTAAACGGCCACCGCTTTCCTCAACAGCCAGTCAATGAATGGTTGTTCAAATAAATGCCTCCTCTCAAATTTCCTTCACATAGGTATGTGGCACTATCTGCAGTTCAGTTAATAGAAAGGAGCGAGTCCACACACAACCACTTATGCAAATGAAGGCCTCCACTTATATAATTGACTTCCTTTGGTTAAATGCAAATACATAGCCCTACTTTCTCCAGTTGAGTATTTAATGAGTAGCTCATCCATACGGGTGATTTTACAAATACAGTAAAGACCTCTTTTAAAATAAACATCTTGCTTCAAATGAACAACGACTACTATCTGCATTTGAGTAAATAAAAATCATCTTGTCCGTATTTAAGTTGGTGTGCAAAAAAGGCCTCCTCACAAATAAACGCCTCCATAAATGACTGATTATCCATGCGGTTGAATTAGACAACGGCATGCGCAGATGCAAGAAGTTTCCAGAGTGAAGGCCTCCTCTCAAAAACACCATGCTTCAAATAAATACCTGGTATTCTCCGTGGTTAGGTAAATAGACAAAAGCTTGTAGAATGCACAAGCATTTGTACAAATGCTTGGTTTCCTCTCAAATGAACGTGACTTCAAATAACTGAATGTACATTTTGCGGTTGAGTAAACAGACAGCAGACACTCCATACTCAAGTGTTGGTACAAATAAACACCGAGTACTGCCTACTTGACTCAGACACAAGTCCAATCATGCAAAATGATTTCTACAAATAAAGGCCTCCTCTCAAATAAACGCCTCACTTCGAATCAACACCTGGTACTCTCCCAGCGTTGCAGCTTACCTGCAGGGCAGCCCAAAGCTCTCGCGCCTCTCTGTCCCCATTTGACTTCTCCAGCATGTTTAGCTGACATTCAAGCCTCTGTCGAGTGTAAAAGGTCACCCAGTCATCCTGCCATTCGTTTTCCTGTAAGTGACAAGTAGAAATAAGCCACGCTAAGGCTGCATGAAAAAAATGTGACGGCTTTCAAGAGGACACGTCATGCATCTACAAAGCTACACTGCTGTTCAGTTTGCAGAGTGTGTTCACCTGCGGTATATAGCCACAACATGTAACGGTATAGAAGCCATATTTGTCCACGTAAGTCGCCTCCGACTGCCCGGCTCCTTTCCCTATTTACGCAAAAGGAATTCATAAATTCATCTTGCACATCACTGCATATCTTCAAATAATGGCCTGTACGGTAATAAACACAGTAAATCAATTAAGGTTGATCATCCACACAAGTAGATGCCTCACCTCAATTAAATCACTCAGGAGCAAACAAAGACTATCCTGCAGTAGACTAAATTAAAAACAGACAATAATTTGTAGAAATGAACAATCTGCTTAAAATGAACACACAGTATTAATTGCAGTAGACTAAATGGAAAGATCAAAATGTACATTTTTTTTGTGCAAATAAAAGCCTTGCTTGAATTAAAACCTTGTACTCTCTGCAGTTGTATGAACAGAAAATCAGCTGCGCTTCAAATAACTCAATTCAACTTTAAAAACAACCACTACTGCATACAAAGTGCTGTACATCAAGAAAACCTGACATCTAAAAACAAAGACAAAACAATAAATAACATTTGGCATTTGACTCAGCATGACTCAGATTTGATCTTAGTTTTTCTGTTTGGTGCCTACTACCATCTTTGTTACTGATTATTGCTTTATTGTTGTATATATGTTAGTTGCTCCATGGACAGCACTTTGTATGCAGCAATGGCTGTTTGAAAGTGCTCTATAAATACAGTTGAGTTGATAAATATAGAAAACACAAGAAAAAAGTAAAACTTGTCTCATGTTAAGTTGAAAGCCAAAGAATAAAAAAAAATGTTTTAAGACCAGTTTTAAAAATTAACAATACATTTCTGGCACTCTCTGTAGTTGAGCAAATAGAAAGCAGCTCGTCCAGACAAGTACAGTACTCCTACAAATAAAGGACTCCTTGCAAAACACACGTCTTCCAGTACTCTCTGCATTAGATTAAACGAACTCCCCTGGCCACGAGTTGAGCAAATACAGAACTTCCAATAAGTTTGGTCATAGTAAGTTACGTTGATTTTAGTTCTCAAAAAGCTTCGACGTGACAAAATGTTGTTCTTAAGCACCCAAGTAGATAAGATAAGAAAATCTTTATTTGTCTCACAATGGAGAAATTCCCAATTTACACCAGCAAAAAATTATGAAAGGGAGAAGTAGAAGAACAAAAAGGTTTTAAGTAAATATAAATTATAAAATATAAATATAAGCATATTCAGAATGGGTGAGTGTATATTAATTGGTAAATATTTGCAGTAAAAGAAGAACAATTACCAACTGTCTGCTGCTCTTTGCCCACTTTCTCAAGCTGTCTCTTGTTGTGAAGGTGAAGATCAGCCAGCCGCTCTCCCAGCTGCTTTGAATATCTGCACATTACAAGTAAAAGGAAAAAAAGAATAGTTTCAAAGATCCTTTTTGATAAAGTGGTGGCCATGCGACCACAATGACAGGAGCCTCACTTGTTTAGACCACGCATATCCAAATGCTCCATCACAAACACACAGCCTCCACTGTCCAACTCGATCACCTTCACAGGTTTGGGCACTTTAATTGTTCCTGTTTTTATTATGGCGTCCAAACTGGCCATTTCTCCATCAAACATTGATTTGGCCTGAAGGAGTGAAAACGTGCCAAGTTACAAAGTGCATGAGCAGAGTTAAAAACAAGATCATAGTTACCTGGCTCTTGTGGTTTATCTTCACAAACACTTTGCCAGTGTCCGTGTGGTAACTCTGGCCCTGACTGATGCATCCACCTTCTGAGTTGCCAGCTAATTTTAGCGTGGCTGTACCCAACTCTTTCTTTAGTCTATCTTCCATCGCTCAACAAGGATTATGTGCGGTGTAATGTCTGTTGAAGTAAGAACGACGACACGCCAACAGCCTGCAGCCGTGTTTATTTCGAGATTTTCGACCGTACCATGTGAAATTGCGTGACGTATCAGATAACGGATTAGAGTACGTAGTTGGTTCAGTTTATTGGTGATTAATATGCCGCACATTACATTAGATTACGTATAAATAAATACTATTGAACGAGTTTTCATGTTTTTTTTCAAAGTTAAGGTGAAATATATAGCCTTTTTTATAAAATCTGTTTGTTAAAAGCAATAATGTTGACACCGTTAACTGTTTTGATCAATTTTACTTTCCGTAGTATTTGCAGTACAATGACCAATCTGAGTTTATGTCGCATTGGCGTGGTCTCCTATCATAGGCGAGAAAGCTCGTCACGTGAGATCAGCATAGTTACCTGTTAACTACGTTGCTCCATGCTTATAATACTGTATTTCTGGCCGCCTATATTGAACAATAAATTTTATGTTAAAAGCGTGTGCTTTCACTAAAGTAACGGAATGTGTTGCACTCCACCGAATTAAACTATTTGCAATACATTGAGGAATCAGACACTAAATAATATGTTGGCTTCGTCCGAACATTCCAAAGGTAAACTGGTCTTTATTGATTTCCGTATTATTTATATCATGCTAACACAACTGGAATCCCGAATCCGCTTTGTCCTATGATGGGCGAGTTGACTCCTCACGTGACTGTCACCATGGTTCCCCGTGAAGCTACGGTGCTACATGCTAATGCCCAAAGAAACCCTGAACCTAAAATGAGCAGGCATGAAGTGTGCTTGCTCCTAGGAGCAACGGGCGTTGGCAAAACATTGCTCCTAAAGCGACTCCTCAATATCCTTTCTGCTCGTTTCGGATAATAAAACCCGAAAGGCTAGAAGATGCTAGTCTAATTGTTTGTTTCGCGCACCCCTTAGCAATAGCACGGCATCGTAGCATGATTAGCATTGCCAGTTGCAGTTAATCTGACAGAGCCGACTATTGTAACTTAACTGGAATGACCATTTGGTGTTTGACTAACTTGACCTAAACACAGCTGCTGTTACTTTCTTAACCTTTTGTTCACAGCTCAGTTTGCAGGGAGCTGTTGAAATGGATAGCCCTCCACATACTCTGCCGACTGTAAATTAGAGTAACAATTTGACGACACTTATTTAACATTTTTTGAAGTATTATAATTTTATCCAAGAAGGAGGAATATATATACTGTATATAGTATCATACACTACTACTGTACTCCATACTTAGATTTTTAATTACTTTAAAACGAGTAAAATATAAATACACTTACTGTATTTTCATATATTTTGTATTTTTATATTTTATATATGGTGAGTTTCTAATCTTTTTTTTCCTTTCCATTTCGTTGGCTGTGTTACGTCTCCTCAGGTTGGAACCAATCTGACAGACATGACGCTGAGGCGAAAGAAGCTGACGATCAGGGAGCTAGGAGGCTGCATGGGCCCAATATGGCCCAGTTACTTCAACGATTGCTCATCGGTCATAGTAAGTGCTGCTTCCACATACTGAAGCTCAAAACACGCTCAACAACATATGTATAATATTCCATGTTTTGTCTTTTTTTTTTTTTTTTTTTTAAGTTTGTAGTGGACTCATCCAACATCGCTCAAGTGTCAGCGTCGTGCATCCAGCTTCTGTCGGTGCTTTCTGCTGAGCCTCTGCGAGACGCTTCAGTGCTTATAATCTTTAACAAGAGGTAAATAGACACAGCTGTTATGCTATATACACACACACACACACACACACACACACACACACACACACACACACAAATAATAATTTGGATTTTATAGTGCCTCTCATGGGACTTAAGGAGGCTTTATAATTACCCATTGGGGGGTATTTTGTGTGTGTGTGTGTGTGTGTGTGTGTGTGTGTGTGTGTGTGTGTGTGTGTGTCTGTCACATATGATATAATTGAATGCATGCTTTACTGAATAAATGGTGCTGAGAAGTTCTTTTTAATGGCACTAAACGATGAATTCTTGGTTGATAAAGTATATTCGGAACAACATATAAATACTAATAGAATCATATCAGTTTTGTTGCTGATCTTTGACATATCCAAGACAGTAACCACCAACGTCACCCAACTAGAGGGGTGTGCAAAGGGGTAACAAACAGGGCGGGGGCACCGGGCATGCACCTGAGAGGGGCCCCACATCAGTCAATGAAATTTGATTGGGGCATGTTCGTTGTTGATGTAGGTCCATGATAAGAATAAAGGTTTTCTTATCTTATCTTATGATCGACGGTCATGAAGTTAGGAGGAAAAGTTCCGTCTGCACAAGGATTAAAAACTTCCAAGGAAGCAGGATAATGGATTCAAACTGGGAGAAATTCCTCAAAACTAACCTGGCTGATCCATTCTTCTTACGCTGGTCCCCTTCCAGGGACGTTCATTGCACCATGAGCCTGGTAGAGATGCGCTCCCTATTCCGACTGGATGACGTGGTGGCCTGTGCTCCTCAGCCAATCACCATGTTGGAAGCGAGCGCCCGCTCTGGAACAGGACTCCGCGAGGTGTTGGCGTGGTTGGAATCCGTCGCCAAGTGACGATTACTGCCGTGAAAGGAAGCTACAGTGACATTTTATTGAAATTGTGAGGGCACACTTATATAGGCTAAAGGTCAAATCATTGTTCAATGTACAGTAATTTATTCAACCAGGAGACCTTTATGGATGAATGCAGTCACATTTTTATTTGTCTCAATATGATTCTTTACGATAAATAATTTCTGCCACTGACATAACAGGCAGAAAAATTACATGTGTTTCCACTGGATAGCAAAAGGCACAAACTGTGTATCGGTCCAAGTTTTCTGACATTTTTCTTTGATGGTGTACTGTACTATGAAATTTTTTTCTCAATTTTCAAATTGTGCCTTATAAAGTGACTGTGATGCGATGTATGTTTACGATCATCCTGCAGGGGGCGTATAGTGAACGTCAAATCAAGATTGGGGAGGCTTTGACTTAATGTTGCGGAGAAGTGTAGTTTAAAACATTCGATTAAATCTCCGTACTTGAATTCAGTTAGCCTGAAAATGAGTTTCACATGACACCAAATAAGCCTGGCTGTTAACTCTTGAAAAGAAACAGCTACAAACTAAGATATTTACACAGGAAAGGGAAAACAAGGCATTTGTTTGAAGGAGGTGTTTATTGTCGAACTGATTATTGGGGCACGGCGTTTATTTTTGAGGGGGGGGGCACTATTTGAGGAAATATGGCTATTTATATTTAGGACCAAACAAGTAGAAACAATTGACGGAGTCCTTCCATAACACTCTACTAATTCCGTGTTCATTACTGTTAGCGTAAAGCTTGAAACGCTTTCAGCTCACCCAAACTACATGATCTTCCCGTTGTAAAACCCACGGATACTTTTTTTAAACGGTACTGCGCAAGTCCATCGTGTAGAACAACAGCAGCAGGTGGTGACACAAACAGCTGAGTGTGCAACATGATTGTTGACTACACAAAGGCAGCAGAACACATTTGAGTGGAAATAAAGGCCAAAGTGCAACAACAACAACTTACACCGTGTTTCTGTTCTTGTTGTTGTTGCGTTAGCTAATGAGCAATAGCCTGAAAAGGACTTTTACATGATAAATCATTTCGAACCTGTTACTGCATCCATTAACTTGTTATGCCACAATGTAGGAGAAAAACGAGTGGGGGAGGTCCACTTGATTCCTTCGGACTGCAGTTCAATTTCCCTTTTTGTAACTACTTGAATGGTTCCTCATAGGAAAGGGTTCTGATTGTTCAGTGCGGGCTGCGGTGCCAAAGCGCCATCCGTGGAGAGGGGCAACAGAGGCTGGGGCAGCTCCAGGCCGGTGTGTGTCGGGTGGGTGAAGGACGACGGGAGGCTGGCCGTCTGCTGGCTGACGGGCAGAGGCAAGGAGGCGCTGTAGGAAAGGGAAGGCTGCAGTGTGCCCGAGCCCATTTGACCTAGAGTGTGTCTGACCGGCTCCGGATCAAATGGGTTGACGATGGTGGAAGCACCCGCGCCTAAGAAGGAGAGGCAAAATAATTGTAACTTATTCAAAGGGTTTGTTTTTGTAATAGTAGCTGCATCCCAATGATGCCATTCTTGACACAAGTGAACCCATTTGACTTCTGTTACTAATCAAAAAATTAGCAAATAAATGCCTCCCCTTTTCTCTTGAAAAACAACAGACTTCACACACACACACACACACACACACACACACACGGACACAGACATAAAAGAGTTCATAGCTGACATAATTTTAACCCTGTTGGTAACCAAAACAGCAACAGATGCCTTCTTCAAATATGTGCCTCATGTAAAAAAATAAACCCCAACATACACTACTTTTGACTTCACACATGCATATTAAATTGTTCACACCCAAGCCCATTTAAACACTATTGCAAACCAAACAAGTAATAAAAGCCTCCCTCAAGTAGATGCCTCTCATTTACGATGAAAGACAAAAAAACAATTAGTGACTTCACACTGTCATTAGAAATTTACCAGCTGAGCCCATTTGAACCCTGTAGCTAACCAAAACAGCAGCAAATAGATGCCTCTTGCAACTATATCTCTATTTTCCCTCCAAATGAAGGGGTCCTTTACACAAGGCCTTACACACTGAAAAACAATGCTTTTCAAAAATTGAGACTCATAATGTAAAAATGTTGTGTGCTAATCAAGACAATTGATGAACCTAATTCCAATTCTCGACCCAAATATATGCAAAGTATTCAAAATACACTGGCCCTAAATCAGCAGTTACCTGCTAGAAAAGGGTTCAAGCTGGCTTGGGAGTTAGCAGGGATCAGCGTGTCCAGGTTGACCAAAGAGGCGGCTGCGGGGCCGAGGAAGGACTCAGGGGTATGCACCATGCGAGGCTTAGGGTCCGCCAGGCTCTGTCCTAGCTGGTGCAAGTCAAACATCTCCGGGCTGCCTTCCCTCTGTCCGTTGAGTTTACCTCCGTCCATGGCCTCATCGAACAGATCGCCATCTAAAAGGAGAGTTGGATATGTTTAGCACTGGGCAAAAGTCTTGATAAGATAATCAAATGCAATCATTACCGGAGGGGCTCACAGCTCGGAGAGGAGACTTTTTTGGTGTTGTGAAGGGATCCACTGCAGATGATCCTGAAATGTTGGAATATCATCAGCCATCTTTTACACGCTGGAATGGTCACCAACCAATCACAGGGCACATATCAGCTCATCTCCTCCATCTTGTGTTCTCTCTTTTTATACCCTCTGGAATGCTACTCTACTCGGCCACTCCATTACAACCTAGACAGCCAAAGCAAAAACGGGTCCCCACAGAGTCCTAGATTCTCTTCAGAAAACCCATCCGTCCAAAAATGGTCAATTTTATATTTTTTCACAATCTGAAACTATTGTCCTATCGTCTGTTATTTCTCCATTAATAGCTTGAGAACAATTCTTTCTTGAAAACTATTCCTGTTGCAAAACTTCGCCTCTTCCCTTACTGTGCGGGAGCCGTGCAGCATAATGGCCCCTCAGGATTGAAAGTCTGCCAAGATAATGTAACCACAGTTCTTTTGAAGTAAAAGCTTTCTGATGAGTAAGTGAATGTAGACTTCGAAGTAAAGGGCTGGATTCTGCATTCTACCATTTTAATAAATGACAGAGTGATAAATTAGTGTGCTGCCCATAACATCATTATTAATGATTCTCAGTCTGACACAATGTATGAATTGTAATGCACGCCCACCTGTGCCCCATAGGTTGGAGGAGGCTGTGCCCGGTGGGGGGTCCCAAGGGTTGACTGGGGGCGGGCTGGGCTCCCAGGGCGGAGGAGGGCTGTTGGAGGTGGGAGGTACCATCCAGGCAGCATCACCCACTTTTGACGAGCTGCGGCTTCCCTCTTTAATAGCGGGAGTAAATTGGAGAGGGTGGATGACTTGGTAACACATTTTCACCTACACAGAGTGGAAACTCACCCCCCACACCCCACCACGCATAATATGTTGCCTTTAAATTTCCCAAGTCTTTACTCATTCCACTAAGATCAATAAAACACCATTAAGTGACATTTTGTACTTATAAAACCATGAAGAATGCTAAAATACTTCCACGACTTTGTTTCGTTGATGACAGTTATGGTGACTTCACATTATTTCCTATTTCTATATTTCTGAAAGGACGTGTGATTCATGCACTTCAACCCTTTCAGCACATAATGCTCAGACCCTCACCCAAGGGGTTCCAGGGATCTGTGCCCCCCGCACGAGCGGACGCTTGGTACGGGGTTTTATGCCAGACGTTTTCACTCGGAGGAGGGTCTTTGGGTACGGCAAAAACATCTACCAGGTCCATGAAGGCAGTCTGACAACATGAGAAAAAAACACATCGGTAAGTAGCTTGTCAGATAGTTTGAACATTTTAATGTAAATAACTAATCAAAACCCTATAAATTTTGTCACTGGACTAACATATGATGCCCTCTGCAGCCACAATGCCCCTCCCGCCCCAAATAGGGTATTCCATACCCCAAAATTTCATACCCCGCCTTTAGACGACATCTCGCGTTTGCTCTCCTCCAAAGCTTTCTTGAGCATTGATTCATCTCCTTGGCGACCGAGTTGCTCCTGTCAACACATATCCTCGCCTTAGCTGGTTGATGATTTTATTTATTTTTTTAACAAGGTCTCCAATTGATGAGATACATTTTGTTATTTGAAGTTCCGCTACTAAAAAAAAATAGTGTTTCTAATTCTTAATAATTTCAGGCATATCCTAATTTTTTTCATAGGGATTTATTTTTTGCCTACCTTTTGGTGTGCTTCCTTGCTCATGCTCAGTGCTAACTTGAGCTGGGAGTCCTCATCCATGTCCACTGTGGTGGGTGGACGCTTGACTGACTGTGAGTGGGGCCAAATGCAACAAAAAACAAACAAAAAACAGTTATGACAATGTTTTTTGTCACATCATGACACCACAAGTACCGCACCTCACACCATTAAGAAGAGAAGTTTGACCGGTTTGTTAAATAAAGACCTGGGGGGGGGAAGTTATCCATAATGACACTAGATGGACAAAAGTATTGGGACACCTGCAAATGGAGGATAAGCTGGAGTTGTTCTGCCACTTTGCAGCTAGAACAGCTCCCACTTTTCTGGGAAGACTTCAGACAGGATTATGGAATGCTGGCACAAAATTGGAAGCATAGATAGGTCAGCGAAGGCGTTTCGCAAAAAGCCCTCATTGATGACCGTGTCTCAATTCTATTGTCCATGTCGTGCAAGAAAGCTTTGGAAAGGAAGAAGCGAGCAAAATAACGTTCCCTTCATGTTCCTGGACCAAGCAAAGCTGTACCTTCTTAACCTCTTTGCTGAGGCTCACAGCGATCTGCATTGCAGTCTTTTCATCGAGAACCACTGTTGTAGTAGTCGGCTAAGGTCAAAGGGAGCAAGGATTAGAAGCAAGGACCCGAGGTATAACCTGAGGCCATTCATTCATTAGAGGCACTAAGATGATTTCTCTCAGTACGCTTCCTTCTAGTCAGTTCACTCTGAAGAGGAGGGCAGGCTGTGTGTCAGGCGCCTGGCCGTGCTTGGATATGTGCTTCCTGTTTGGCTGGCTCACAGTGATGGATCCCAGTGCCATTACTGGCTGAGTCAGAGACAGAGACGTTCTGTTCTCAGGGAAATGGCGGCTTGCATATAAGAAGGGCTTAATGGCTTCGTTGGAAACGGACCTGAGCAATCTCACGGGTGGGTTTTTACCGTACTTTTTTGGCATTGTTGTCTTCAACAAATAGACACACACACACACACACACACACACACACACACACACACACACACACACACACACAACAAATACTAATCGCTGTCACTTAGGGAGAGCATACGATGAATGCCAACTTGGAAAAAAAAAAAACATACAGTTCCAAACAACTCCAGATCGCAAAACAAAAGTCCTCTTTTTTTTTCAGCACCAAACATGGTTGGTCACCCAAGTGGAACTTTAATCTATTTGTTAGTTATTGTAATGGATGGAGTGCATACACCTCCCGGCTGAAAAACCCCACTCAAAATCAGCCAGGTATGTTTCCCAAAATGGTTGCAGGAATGTGTTGTATAACTTGAATATCTTGTGGTTACTTTGTAATGTAGGGAGAGCAGACAGCCCGTGCAAGAAGAATGTAACGTTCCAAAGAATTACTTGTTTGTGTCATGTCATTTATGTATGGGATTGCATGCACCACTACAACACAAAAAAGAACAGTATTGTCCCACCTAACCCTAAACTCCTATTTTTTTCCTGGGACCGAACTTGAATACATTTTTTACTCCGTGTAACAGGGATTAACACGGGGAAATCATAAAATCCCCTTCAAAAGAATCATATCCAAATCCTAAGGCTGCCTGATTATGGCCAAAATGATAAACACAATGATTTGTTTTTCATCAATACTGTAATCGCGATTATTAACACAATTATTCATCATGCAAAACATCACGTTGCATTTTTTTAAACAAATGTAAAATTTCCAATGATCACTTTACTGGTGAGCTATTTCTAGAAGAGGCCCTAGTCCTTGAAGGGGCTACCTGGTGCCCACGGACCTCATGTTGGTGACCACTGTTTTCGAGGCACTCTCTCCTCATCTCCAATTTTTGCTGTATTTTCTTCTCTTGACATGACTTGCTGTCATCAGGCTCCTGCTGCAGGATGCACTTACTTGTTATTTAGGCAGTTTAATGAAGCTGCCTGCTGGTTGGCTTACAACTGGTTGAGAAAGTACTGGATTCGATTTGCAACAGATCCTGCATTTTAAATCGAAAGATTACCTGTGATCAGGTTAATTTAATCGTGGTTACCCAAATTGTGATCAAGATATAAATGTGATTAATTGTGCAGCCCGACCAAATGATATTTTTTCAAAATACACCGAAGGCAGTACCGAATTGCACAATGTTGGAAAGATGCAGCAAGATACATCATAGACGGGAACCCTAACGAAAGATTATTGGTAAAATGTGTATGTTTCTTACTATTCACGGTTTTTCTCTGCTTCAGAATTTTCCCACGTACTGTTGACAGTGTACAGGACAATATGTTGCGTATACGTGCGATACAGCATACATACCTTTTCGCTTTCCTCTCGGCTCATGGCCAGGGCCAGCTGCAGCTGGAGCTCCTCCTCCCCCGTGGTGGTCGGCCGAGCTTGCTCCAAGTCCGGCGCGAGTTGAGGAGAGGAAGAGGAGGCTGGAGGAAGGAGAGGAGAGGGGAATGAGTGTGTCGGGAAGTGTCAAAAACATAGACAGAAGGAGTGAACATGGACAAAAATAAATAAATAATAAAAAAACACACTTTGGCTGCGTTCTCGGGTCAGAAAGGCGCTGGTACTGGCGCTGAATGTTAATATATCTGCCGGCCCTTGTTGTTTGGGATCTTTGTTGCCGTTGCTTACCAGTCGGTGGGCCCAGAATGAGAACAATGCTGCGCCTGTGCGCAGAGTTCGGGGAAGATCTTGGAAGATGGATGGATTTGGAACGTGGCCCATTGAAATAGCACATATCCTCAAAGTGGGTTTGCACATCTGTGGATGTTTAGCAATAGCCAGGCTACTAAATTCTAAAGCATGTGGTCAGATTTTTTTTGTCATTCTTATTTATTGTAACATGGGGAGTGCATAGAAACCCATTTAAAAAAAAACTAACAAAGTCCCTCAAATTTTTACTATTACAAATTCATATTAGTTGCAAAAGTTAACCTTATTATTACCTATAGGAATAGCATACCCCCCCCCCAAAAAAAAAGTCCCAAGGCAACAGTCTCCGATAGTCAGAGAACGGTCGTAGGGAGAGCATACAAACACCTTTTCCCCCTACGGTTGACTATTACCGCTTGGAATTTGTTGTATAACTTGAATAACCGAGTTACTTATTGAAACGTAGGTAGAGCGTAGAGCCCCTCCACACCCTCAAAAATGTCTTGACTATCTATCATTTGCGTCAGTTGAAATCTGTTGTATGAAAACTATGGAAAGGGAGGGAATACAGCCCCAGAAAAAAAGAAAAACACAGTTCCAATCAAGCAAGTGTCCTCTTTACCTCAGGACCAAGAGGGTCACGCAAGTAGAACTTTAATACTTTATTAGTGGGTTATTGTACTGTACCCGGGAATGAGCAGAGGGACAACATACGCTCCCCTTTCAAGAAAATCCACAGTGTAAAGGGATGATTCATTTTGCCTGAGCATTGGGCATTGTGCTCCTCTTGTAGAAGTGCTGAAGCACATGGACGCTGGCTCAAGGTGGGAAGTTGCCACATGTTTCCACTGGCTCACCCTCATGACCAAATATGCAGAGAATGCATATCGGGGCTAGGGAGAGGGGTTGGGGGAGTATTTGCTTGGACAAAAAAAAAAAAAAACTAGACAGAAACTGGAGGCAGTAAAACAGTCAGAAAGCGTCTGCGAATGTGCCTCTGATCGCACCATAAAGCCACCACTGTTGGTCATCTGCTAACGTTTCGCACATTTTAATTAAGAACCACACAGACCACATCAAGGCCCGAAGGGGATTACTGCATTTTTGTTTTTCAGTGAAGATAGCAAAAAGTCCCACATTAAAAAACAAAAAAAGCCACAAAAATCACTCAAACATATGACAGCAAGCTACTCGCAAGCTAAGTGGCTACAGACGAGCTGGTATGCACTCCGTTTGACATTGGCAGTATATTAGTGCTTTATGTCTTTTTACACTTGTTTAACAGTTAATATTTACAACAGTGAGATGTGTTGTTTTTTTAAAGACTTATTCCATTGTTTATATTTGTATTAAATGTCTTTCTAATAGGTCTGAATTCCTGTTACCTCACAATATACAGAATTCTTAATTCATCAATTCTTACACCCATCCCAAGTTATATTCCTCCAAAAAGAATTCATTTCAATATTCCCAACAGGAAATGCTGCTTTTAAAATCTAATTAAGGTTCGTGGAGCCATTGCGTCCTTGAAGCAGTCCGAGGCTTGTACTGGTTTGCTTGGTTTTGGACGTATGCACATAAAAGCGGTGGGGGCCCCGTGGCTTTTTCTCTTTTGTAACTAGAGATCAGCTGATGTGGCTGTGCACGGGAGAATGACAGGAATGCTAAAGTCTGACAGTCAGAGAAGAGCAAAATTACAAAACTATCTTAAAAGAGAAAGAGAAAAGCTTGTCATAGGGCTACTGTGTCTTTTTAATACGGGACCTTTCATTTGCAAGGCGCAAATTCCCAATCATAGGTCACACGAAAAGGAAATTCATGTTCAAATAGCTGTACCGGATTTTTCTCATACTTTGATCTTATGTTTGTCCATTTGTAGTCTCCATCCTCACGTTCTACACTGTAGTATCTGCGAGTCACTGTATGTAAATTTAAAAGGGGGGGCACGGCCTGGTGAGTAACACTGTAAGTCAGCAAATGAGAGTGGAGTTGGCTGTTCTCAGTATACACACTGAGTGCCTGGGCATCAGGTGTGGACGATGCAGCTCATGTATGAGATTTCTTATCATGGGTTTATTTTGTTACTGTTTGTTCAAGAAAGCAATTGATAGTGCACCGTGGGCTGAATGCATCCTTGACCAATTGTGGGGACATTACAGAAAGTTCTAACTAGTGGAAGGCTACTTTAAATTCACCCATATTAATATCTTAGTTTTGGCATGGCAGGTGACTTAGTCCTGTTTTGCAATAAATACAATACACATTATCTCTTTTTTTTTTTTTTAATTCTCGAGCTTTTCCCAGCTGACTTTGGGTGAGAGCTGTCGTGCAGCCTGGATTGGTTGCAAGTCACATATGTAGATCATTTCGACTCGAAATTGTCCATAGGTTTGAATGGCCTATCTACATGTATACTGATTGAAAAAGACTGACTATGTCAGGGGTACCCATTACGTCGATCGTGATCGACCAGTACATCAAGGATTGGTCACAAGTCGATCTGAGGGGTGTAGAGGGAAAAAAAAAACCAAACATTTGTGTCTCTGTGCATGTTAGTTATATGTTTTTATGTTAATGCACACTGCACTCCAATCATTCCATCAGCCTCACTTTCACAAAAAGTATTTAAAAAATAAAATAAAATAAAACAGATCACCTTTAACCTATGGTGACTTGTCACTGCGTTACCGAAAGTTGTTAGCGCTCAGCAGTCTGCAGTTGCAGCTTGTGATCAGAGTTGTTGCGCTATATCTTTTATCGTTGTCATTATTCTCATTCATGCAGCTCATGTATGAGATTTCTTATCATGGGTTTATTTTGTTACTGTTTGTTCAAGAAAGCAATTGATAGTGCACCGTGGGCTGAATGCATCCTTGACCAATTGTGGGGACATTACAGAAAGTTCTAACTAGTGGAAGGCTACTTTAAATTCACCCATATTAATATCTTAGTTTTGGCATGGCAGGTGACTTAGTCCTGTTTTGCAATAAATACAATACACATTATCTCTTTTTTTTTTTTTTAATTCTCGAGCTTTTCCCAGCTGACTTTGGGTGAGAGCTGTCGTGCAGCCTGGATTGGTTGCAAGTCACATATGTAGATCATTTCGACTCGAAATTGTCCATAGGTTTGAATGGCCTATCTACATGTATACTGATTGAAAAAGACTGACTATGTCAGGGGTACCCATTACGTCGATCGTGATCGACCAGTACATCAAGGATTGGTCACAAGTCGATCTGAGGGGTGTAGAGGGAAAAAAAAAACCAAACATTTGTGTCTCTGTGCATGTTAGTTATATGTTTTTATGTTAATGCACACTGCACTCCAATCATTCCATCAGCCTCACTTTCACAAAAAGTATTTAAAAAATAAAATAAAATAAAACAGATCACCTTTAACCTATGGTGACTTGTCACTGCGTTACCGAAAGTTGTTAGCGCTCAGCAGTCTGCAGTTGCAGCTTGTGATCAGAGTTGTTGCGCTATATCTTTTATCGTTGTCATTATTCTCATTCAGAGTTTGTTTTGTACAATTCACCGAGGGGACGGGTAAAGAATGGGAATCTGGAGGGCCGAGAGAAGCATTTTAAAACGGTACGCGTGAGCTACGATCATGAACAGGCTGCCTAAGTGCGCCGGATGCCTCAACGTCGGGCTATTGCTCATCATGGCATGTGTGTGTATGTGCATGCGTGTGTGCATATGTGCACGTGCGCAGTAACGGGTCGATCGCGGGAGGTTGGTTGATCTAAAAGTAGATCTTCGGTCAAAAAAGTTTGGGCACCCCTGGACTACGTGCTATGAGGTGCAGTTCGTCTTTACTACTCACATTGTAGAGAAGAGGGCGAACTTCGGGTCTCGTGCATCCCGTAGTGGCTGGAGTGGGCAGCCGGGTATGGGGGAGGTAGCTCTCCATATTCACCGTACACCCTCACCATGCGCGACTTGGTCTTCAACGCCTGGGCCCGATCTTTCTTCAGCTTTTCCGGGTCCTTCAACAGAGCCACCAGTTTCTTGGCCTTTTCGCGGATATGGATACCCTGGTCCTCTCCATCGCGGTCTATGTACTGGAAGTCCTTGAGGGTCTGGATGGAGTAAATGTTGTCCCGACACTCCTGCGCCACACGGACCGAGCCTGCCTTGGTCAGGTAGTCCAGCAGGGTGAGCGCCTTATAAACGTGGCGCCAGTTCTTGCCATGGTCATTGAGCCGCCTCCAGATCATACCCATGACCTCGGTGAACGCCACCATGTTGTAGGTCAGATCAGCAATCTCGGCCATCAGTGTGCTAGAGGCGCCCCACGGGTCGTTGGAGGTGGCCTCGCGCACTTTGATCTCGGCATCCGTGTAGTTGTTCACTACATTTTTCATCTGCCGGCGCAGCGATGTCTGCATGGTGACGGTGGCGATCAGGGCTCCAGTGGGGGACAGAAAAACAAAATGGGGGCGGGGGGCCCTTTAGGCAGCAGCTCAGAGAAAAAGAAAAAGAAATCCAAGCTTGTCTTTGCAAATTTAATTAAATCCACAAGTTTGTTCCTGTTGGGGAGGAGACAATGTGACAATCAATGAGAAGTTTAGGATCACTTGGACAAAAAGTATTGGGACATACATAAGCATATGCAATGTGAAAATGAAAGAAAATATGGAATTTTCTCTATTGACATTGCACACCTATGGACAATTTAAACCAGGAATCGGCAACTGGCATGCGTCAGAGATTCCAAACCTTCTTACGGTGAGACAGACCTGCTCACTACTAAACCACCGTCTTGTCCTGGTAGCATAAAACTGTCCAAAATTAATACGAATTTAGAAGGAACAAAATAGATTCTCCCAACACAGCGAAAGGCGTTAAAAGGGGAGGTGTAAGTACATTGCGTGCCGAAACTCAACACCAAGGCTCATCTTTCAATAGGACAATGCAGAGTGATTGCGGTGCAAAACAATGTGTTGTTTTCAAGTTGAGTCTGTTGAACACGCTTTCCATTCTTGTGAGGTAAATATGAATTTGACCGTCATTGGGGGAGCAGTTTCAAAATGTTGCATACATCACTCCTTGGTTCATTACACTGGACTGCACTTTGGACTGATCAATACTGTCAGCAGGGTGGGTGAACATTCCAAATGAGATAAACTCATGGGCCACATCATTAGGTTCAACTGTACTCGTTAATGAGAAGTTGTCAAATGTCTGTCTTGACAAAGGTAGTCAGTTTTTGAAATTTTAAATAGATGTTGTATTCGTAGTTGTAAATAATAAAAACGTCCCTCAATATTGATACCGTGTACTTCAAACTAACAATAATAAACATAATTGTTAGAATGTCAAAGCGAGTATCGTAGCCAACATGTTCTGAAAGCTGTTGTTGTCAGTTGTTGTAGCTCTTTAACACACACACACACACACACACACACACACACACACACACACACACGCACACGTCACATAAAAAGTGTAAAGATGGCGAATAGCCCGCTAAGGTAATTAATGATTCGAATTACGGTTCGTGAATGGACCGGGTTACTTCATTTTCGCTTTTCAAAGCCTGAGACGCTGTGGCCTTTACGTGGTACATTCCACCGCAAATTTAAAATGGCAGCTTCCCGTGCATTCCAGGCACCTGACGTCATCAATTATCAAAGACGGAAGTAGCTTGCTGATTAACAAACGAGTGGAAAGAAAAAACATATTGCGATGTTTTTTTCCACTTCTGTTGACAAAATACTCAACTATGTGAAATTGTAGTTACTTCTGAATTGGGTACAGTTGTCACTTTTTAAATAGACTGCACAGGTGAAGGCAACATCAATTTCCTGAAGCAATTTCCTTAAGTTGTGTGCTTTATCTATACCCACGCCAAAAATAAAAATAAAAATAAATTATTGTGCGATTGATTAGTCACCTTAAAATTATGAAGCGTGATGTCAGGGCGGCTCACGTGGTGCACTTCCTGTTACTTTATTGACGACAAAACGAAATGTAAACAAGAAGAGTTTTCAATTTTTTCAATCTTTTATTTAGATTTAAGTTTCAATGATACTGATTCGGGTTAGGATACTGCTGTGAATTTTGCTTTCCACGCTTTTTTTTCACGAAAGCAACACATCCGAGAGCTGAACTACACGTTATGTAACTCTAAATGAGCGAATTGAACGGCAAATTTAATTTAGAATAAAATTGAAAAAGCGCATTTTTAATTGACTTTGTCCTGTACGTATCGAATTTTCCCGGGACGCTGCGTCGAACGGGACGAGGAGGTGAACTATCTCACAGTGACTCAGCTTCTGTGATTTCGATGAAAATACAAATAATATAACCTGGATATAAGATCTATAAATACCATAAATCTTCATTTCCTCTTCCCTCCCCCCTCTCCTACCTTCATGACATGGCAGCGTCAGGCTCCCAACTTTTGAGAGGAAGGAGGAAATAAGACCAAAATGTGTCTCCGCCTCTCGGCATATCCCGATAAGCCGATAGGGTAAAACACAAAGTGTTCAAAAATATCTTCTATCTAGTCCTAATTCGCGGGAAAAAATGATTTCAAAACTCCTGTTTATATTAGTGTATTGCAGTGCTGTGTAAAGACAGGAGCACCCCCGCACCACTCCTGAAAACACTCTAAAGTGCAGGGAGGGAGGAGTGGGCTGGTGAGGGAGGCTGGCCTGCACCGTGCATGCAAAGTCAGCCTTAACCCTTTCATTGCCGAGGCGGTGACAAAAGTACTTTTGGCCTCCCCGGACTTAAGCAGCAACCCCAGTGGACATTTCGAACGGAAGATGCATATTTTGGGGGTGAAGGCATACTTAGTAGCTAAGGGCTGATGAGAACTCAGACGCTCAAGTTCTATACAGAATATGCAAGTGGCATACACGCCCGACTCCACAAGTGCATCTCAAACGCTGTTTGATCCACGCCCCCCGCCCCCCCAAAAAATTGGAAAAAACGGAAATGATGAAAAACAGTTGAATGCGACGTCGCCACAAACGAGTACTACAAAGTAAAGTTATCGGTCTTTGCAGTTGTCCATCAATTATCTTATAATGGATATTTTTTTTCTTAATTAACTTGACAGAGTATTTAATGAGGAAAAGAGAAAATGAATGCATGGAGATTCACTGAAGACTGTGACTGTTGATGATTTTTTTTTTCTCCATGCATGCCCTGCAATTGGCTGGCGACAAGTCCAGGGTGTAACCTGTCTCTCTTGGATTACTGAGGACAACACATACAAAATGGATGGATCTTACCAGTAATATCGAAATAAGTGCAGATGGCTACTGTGCGTCAATGTGGGCGGGACTTTCAAAAACACCAAAGTCAATTATTCCAGTCTGAGACGTGGCTGAAGCTGCATTCATCCCTTCTTGTTTTGGTATCTGTAAACATATGGTAGCATATATTTCAACATAAAAAGTGTTATTATAAAAGCAATATGTCCCATGGGGGTTCAACTGAGAGCCCTATTTCCTTTGCAGCAGAAAGTCTGGGCTCTTGAGTTATTTATCAGCACTAATGGCGCATTGTCTAAAGTCAGGTCCTGATGCATTATGCAGGACCTTACGCTTATTGGCTTTGAGGTTTAGTAATCTCGGTGAGCCGCATGCGCAGCGCGGCCGATAATGCCGGTCGTGAGAAGTGGCAAAAACGTTACAGAGGAGGGACCGGCAAGTGCTCGGCGGAGCAGGATGTACAGGAAATTCCAGCTCCTCCTTGAAAAAACACACAAGTGTTGCAAATGTCAACAGGAGTGATGGCGCCATGGCCTCAAGCAGCACAACGGAGGGATGTCCTTTTGTTCCAACATTAAAATAAGCTTGGGTTGTGGCGGTTTCATTTTGATTCTCACCAATCAGGTCGGTCGAGCTCGACTTCATAGCTGCCATCCAGACACTCCCTCCCTCCCCTGCGTCTTTTATTTCTCCTGAACAGAGATGCCTGAGCATTCTTTGTTTCCCAACAAAGGCCCGCAGAGGTCAGCACAAGGAGGAAGGTCGTGTGCTGACAGGGGGAAGGGACACAAAGGGATAGCGAGTGTGCAAGGAACACACAAAAACAGAAGCATGTTTCAGACATCCAACCAAAAAAAATAATAATAATAAAAAAAATCATCTTTGGCTCAGCCCTGATTACATTCAAATGCTTCAGCCTCACGTCACTCCGGTCTCTTAGCTGTCCTCTCGTGGTGAGATTGTCAATTTGCAGCAGATTTTGTTGTTCCTCTGTCTTGGATAAAGTAGCAGCATCATTTCTTAGCTGTTTTTCTTCAGTTGGGCCTGAGTCAAGGTGGAGGCAGTTATGAACAGTTCTAAACATCAATCACTGTGAGCACAAAACTTTCTGGCTTTTGTTAGACAGTAAAAGAAAGACGGGAAAAGCCGATTGGAACATCTGAACTTTTTCTGGGGTTAATCATAGGAACTTGAAATGGTAGTGGCGAAAACAACCAAATCCCCATGCACAAGAAAGAGGGTGTGCACACTTGGACATCCACGTGGGTGCAGTTGTTTATTTTACGTGCCCTGTCTAAAATGTTTCTTTTGTTTTTTTCAATGGAGCTCAGTCAGCTCATCAGTCAGTTCTGCAGCAGCCTGATGACAATCTTGATCATTTCAATGAGTTGTACTCGAGGAGGGAAACATCTCAAATAGGCTGGTTTCGGGTTTTGGGACAGGTCCTTGGTCAGGGTTTGGGGTAGGTTTTGGACAAGTCGAGAGCAATGGTGGCCAGTTAATTTTCCAAAGTCATCTGTCATCTTGCTTCATTAACATGATATCACTCTTTAGTCAACACTCATAAAAACAAATCCTTCCTACCAAAAGCGCTGGGAACAAAAGAGGAAGTTGATCTCTAACGAAATAAAATCAATATGAATTCAATACTAAGGATGACTGTATTTCTTGTGCAACACCCCTCCACCCCCCACACACACACAAAAAAGAAAAATCTCATGATGACTAAGAATAATGAACAGCATCATTGGCCGCATTCCATCTGGCTATGGGCCAGCTGCCGACAAGGTTCTAAGAGACGCTTCAATGGAACACAGCCACTGCCATTACCTTACATTGTCACTATATTACTTCACTGACATGTGCACCATGTCCACCAATTGTATAAACACATGACACATCGTAAAATGTGAAACACTGCTTCTATATTTACTCTGGCCCGGACACCAACGCGCTTAAAACTGTCAGCCATTATAGAGTGTTAGGTACATTTCTAAATAGCCATGAAGTGGAAGCAATTCATGTTGTATCGCGCTTGTGGCGTGGTTAAAAAAAAAAACAAACAAAATCCCTCTCAACAAATGTGGGGAAACTGTCAGGAAAAGCCTGCTAGAATATCTGAAGTTTATTTGGGTTTAACCAGAGGCACTTGAAATGGTTGCAGGTGTGTGCTGAGTTCCGTTTGAATGTGATTATCTAGGAACACAGCCCGTTGGTTTTGTAACTAACTGTAGCAAAGTCATTTTAACTGTAACTAGGTCACTGGAACAAAGTAACAGTAATGTTACTAAGTTGTGATAATTGCAACTGAGTTGATGTTATTATAATGGTAACAAAGTATTTGTTAATAAGTATCTACAGCAAAGTAGGTAAAAAAAAAAAATGTCAGAAATCGCATCCTAGAACTGTTGAACTTTATGTGGGGTTGATCAGAGGCCCTTGTGCCAGTCTCTGTGAGTTTGACTTTGATTGGTTATTTCCAGACAAAGCGTGTCGGCCTCACATTGCAGGGGTCCGGGGTTTGATTCTGCCCTTGCTGTTTGGAGTTTGTATGTTCTCTCCGAGCCTGCTTGGGTTTTCTCTGGGTACTACGGTTTCCCCCTACATTTTAAAAACATGAATGGCAGGTTAATGGAACACTCTAAATTGCCTGTAGGTGTCACTGTGAGCGCAGATGTTTGTTCGTCTACATGTGTGCCCTCCGACTGGCTGGCAACCAGTTCAGGGTGTACCTCGCCTACTGCCCTAAGACAGCTGGGATAGGATCCAGCACGCCCCGTGCCCCTTGTGAGGCTAAGCGGATCAGAAAATGGTTGATGGATGGATGGAATTACAAAGGTGTGCACACTACTTCCTGTTTTGGACAAATTTTTGTTCAAGTGAGTTGTACATGTTGTTGGTCACATGAACTGTTGAAAAAGTTTTAATATGATTTCTCATGGTCTAAAAAGAGAGAGGCCTGAGAGCTGTTCTATTGCCTTGACACTCTTCTGTGGCAGCAGCTGCACCTTGTGGAGACTGAATGACATTTCCAATTGAGGGCAGCCTTTTCTCATGATGACGTGCTCGGAATTGTAAAGAAACATACTTATTGCAATGATGGCTTCATGAATAAATAATGGCTCCACTGTGACGCTGGATGGAAAAAAACCCTCACAGAGAGAACTCATCGCATTCGGTGAATCATAGTGCAGTGCGTGACTGCTACAAGGGAACAAAAAGGGGGTGCGGCAGGGGTATGAGAGGGCTTCACACCATGACATTAAGTACATTTAGGAAAGTCTGATATCGTAATGTTCATACATAACTGGAAACGACATAGATGGGATAACAAAATTAGCATCAATGTTACAGCAGTTATAAACCGCTTATAGTTGAACACAAACAGTAGCAAGACATGCAGACAACAGACAACAACAGCCATAGGCATATATTCTTTATCCTCCGTATAAAACAAGTAGTATTACTGCAGTTTAATTGTGATGGTTTTCTTCAGTGTTGCGTTGTCAAATCTACTGCACGTGTTGTATTTCTTTATGTTTCATACTGCACGCTGGTGGTAAACCAGTAAACCAGATACCCTCTGCCCATTAAAATGATGCAAGAAATTGTGACGCACAAACGCATCTTCGTATTATTGTATGTTTTTAGAAAGTATAATTCTAAAGAGTGCTTTTTTTAAAAATTGTTTTTATTTTTATTTTTTTGCAGGGCTGGAACAGATTAATGGCATTTACATTCATTTCAATGTGGCGAGATGATTTGCTGAGTAATGGGCCTAGTCATGGAATTAATTAAACTTGTAAGTCAACACTCCACTGTTTTTAAAAAAATGACAAAACATTTGGATTTTGTTCCTTTCATGGTATTTTGTTTTTAATTTACAATTTCATGGTGGTTAAACGTGTCAAATTGATCCACAAAGATTTTTTGGCACAGCAAATAAATCTTTTTATGACAGCCTGAAGCTAATAATTTCAGTCCACATTATTTCCAATGGGAAAATTTGTTTCTCAAAACATCCTGCAAGTCATCGTTTCTCAGCAGATTGTGTTTGTATTGGATCTCATAAAATAGCAACACACAATAACATAAAAATACCCCAGAACAACATAAAACAACAAACACAAGGCAGAGAAAGAGAGAGAGAGAGAGAAAACGAAAGGACGTTGCTCAGAAGTCTCATCCTTCCCGTAACCATGACAACAAGGATGCTGGCAATTACCCCAGTTAATTGATCCACAAGTAGCCAGTAAACACTTTTCGGGTAACAGTGACACAATGTGAGGTGCGAAAAAGTCAGGCTGCCTTACATCGAGTGACCAGCCTCAAATCTAATTGGAGGAGGGAGAGGGGCTGTTTCTAAAAAAGGAACATGTTCCCTGGATGCAAGCGGATGACGCAGGGAACGTACGCTCGGCGTGGGTGTATAAAAAAATCTACGGCGGGCTCTGCTCGGCGCGCACATGGCCAGAGGAGTGAGCCGGGCTCTGAGCTCCTGATATCCATGACGAGTGAACCGATACGAAAATGAACACGACCGAGAGGTTCACCCCCCTTGGCGGGCATCCTCACCCGCCACACCCAGCCCTCAGCCCAGCGGTCCAGCAGAAGCACCCGAAGGTGTCCAACCTATCCAAGACAGGGCTGGGCCTCCTGGAAACAGTCAAGGGACGATGGAGGCAGCAGGACAAGAGAGGCACGCCGGAGGAGGCCTGCGTCTCCGGTGAGGTTGCGCCGGGTGACATCAAGCCCCGGAACTGCCAGAGAATTGTGGTGCTGGGCGCTCCCGGGGTGGGCAAGACCAACTTGGTCAGGCGCTTCCTGGGGGAGGAATTCCAAGAGATGTACGAGGCCACGGCGGAGGACTTTCACAGGAAGCTGTTTCACGTCGGAGACGAGACGTATCAGGTGGACCTCCTGGATGCCACCAGAGAGAGAAATTTCCCGGCAAAACGGAGGCTTTCCATACTGACGGGTATGATCATGAGTAGTCCTTGAAATCCGAATGGGTTCTTCTTATTACTGTATTTGATCAATACAGACAAGATCAGGCACTGAGCTTGTAGACATGATTATGGGGATTTATTATCATACTAGTTGGCGGTATCCTCATTACACTTCTAATGTTTAATTAAAACAAAAGACTAGTGTTATTGTCAGTAGAAGTAGTAGGAAAGATGGGATTCATGATTTAAATTTTTCGTTACAATTGCACTCCTAATTGTTTTAGATTATCACATACATACATAATTATTTAGTCTTGTGTAACTGCGAGTCAAGTAGATGTCTCCACTAAATGTTGCCTTGACCTACAATAGATATGCACATGCACACTCTCATAAATATTAGGGCTGCAATGAGCTATTATTTTAATAAATGATAACTGTTGATTATTGTCGATTAATCGATGAATCTGCAACAACAACAAAAATTTAATTTGCACCCTAAGCCATGATTTCAAACTGACAGTGCACGTGAACGTAATGAATTAAGATTAAATTACTGGTTTGGCCCGTGATTTGCCAGAAAAAAGTCAAAATCGGTTGATCATTGTTTTCCAAACAAAAAATACATGTTTGCAAATGTTTTATTTTGATTCAACCCAAAAATTAGAAGTCTGCTTTCATGGAGGATGGCAGAAATTGGAGAATGTTTACTGTTGAGAGGCTAAAATTTGGACAAAAGGCTTACCAAAGGCAAAAATAAGTGTTTTGTTTTTAAATACAGATGTAATTCAAGTTAAGTCACTTTGTGTTTTTTTTTTTGTTTAGTTTGACAGTTAATTAAAACCAGAAGTGGCAATATACATCTCAAAGACACTTTTTTGAAAATGTCCTGTCTGTCTGCCAAACCGCTTGTTGTGACCTAAGTCTTTATTTTTCTTGCGTCCAGGTGACATCTTCCTGCTCGTTTTCAGTTTGGACAACAGAGAGTCCTTCAGTGAAGTTCGCGAGCTGCTCAGCGAGATCAAAGTCGCAAAGACAAAGTTGGTCAAGTCCAAACGTCCGTCGAGGTTACCTGTGGTAGTTTGCGGCAACAAAGCGGACCTGGACGCTCACAGAGTCGTCAGTCGGTCCGACGTCACCGAGGCCTTGACCCGGGACGTGGCTTTCTTTGAGACCTCCGCCAAGCTCGGCACCTCGCTGGAGGCCGTGTTCGGGGAACTGGCGGCCATGGGCGGCCTGCCCTACGAGACCACGCCGTCGCGGCATCGGCTCGTCTCCATGGTGACCTATCAGTCGCTATGCCGGCGCGGCCGCGGACGGAGCCGCACGCCCGGGGAGGCCGCGCCCTGCGCCGCCGTGGACACTTTGGCGAGGCGTCCGAGCTTCGGCAGCGACCTCCGGCTGGTGCTTGGATCAAGCGCCAAAGCCAACAAACCCGAGAGGTGTCCGATTCAATGAATTGCGAACCCTCTCCGCAAAAACCAATTGTAGTAGTATGCTGCAATGTTGTATTATGTAAGGAGTTATACTCTGCATAGCACTTGGCTGGACCGGTGCATTCCTATTTTTTGTACATAACATGGTCACGTTAAAAACGGTTCTTTCTCAACAGAAAACGATGCATACTGTATAGTCATGCAAATGACATGAATGTAAATGTTTCTTGGATACACTGAAAATAAAAACGACGAAGAAAAAAACCCTCCTGCTTTTTTTCTTTTATAGAAATAAGATCCAAAATATAAAAAAAGTCACGGTGCTATAATAAAACTTGGGATTATAATTATGACGTTGATTCCATATAAAGGTCCAAAGCATGTAAGGAGTCATCTGTTTCCAGGCAGTGATGTAAAACAACTGATCAAGTGTGCGTGTGCTTGGAGATGTGGGATGACTCAGATGAAAAGATGTGAAGCATCATCTCGTATTCTCAGATGCCAGATACGGTGCGAGTATGCTCAACGGCGCCTACACATGCAAAGGATGAGTAGCGTGGAGGAGGTGTGACGAGGTGAGTCAGTGCCAATGGGCCACATTAGGAACACAAGCGTAGTGCCATAAATGATAATGCACATAACACGCACACACATTACATGTGTACAACTATACAAATAGACGCTGTTTCTATTCGTACATTGGGGTTTTAATTGCTTTTCAGATATGATACTCTAAATTAAAATGAATTAACACTTGAAATGTATCAGCCGGTGTGGAATAAATGTATGCATTACACAAGTGTCACTTTTTGGATAATATTACTTTTCATGACATTTTTTTGACGAGCACTTGCATGTATAAAGGTAAAGAATGTACAAAAAAAAACAACCTGAAATGCCACTTCTATACGCTTTGATGTAGTTTTAATCATGAAATATATTTAATAATAGAAACAACTTTCAGTGTGATACAGTGCAATTGTCTAATACTGCAAATGACCACAATATAAACATATTGTAAGTAATAACCCAAAAAAGAGGGCTTTTGTATCTTCATGAAGGCAGATTTTTTTTTTTTTTTGGTGGGGGTTGTTGATGACCTCACTGGGAGAGAACAGAAAGCACTCCAGCAGAGAAGCATTGTACGGATATAATGGAATTAAAATATTGAATGGGTCACTTGAGAGCCAACCACTCATTATTAAAACAGGATGCTGGGAGTAAATGTTCTCATTAAATCTCAATGTTTATGTTACTCATTCATGGTTTGCTGCACACACCTATTTATTCTTTGAAATTCAAATGTAATTATTGAAATCGAGACCTATATATGTTTTTGTGAGCAGGCTGTCCGCTCAGGCACGTTCATCTATGAAACATGACAAAACGGCAGCCACTTTAATTCACTCTCAAGATTCTTTACATGTGTCTGCAGATTTTCTATGGGGGAAAAATAATGAGCTCATCAGTATGCAGTCCATGGTGGCTTCCGGAACAAACAGTAAACACACATGAAAATGTTGGACATTGACTTGTTTGTTTAGCCCTTTTGCTAACACAAATGAGAATAATCCATGTTCATTTAATTTCTGCCTAGATGCCAGTAAGTCATGACGGCATTTTGATGCTCAGAATCTCATTGTATTGAGTGAAACGAATGGATTCTTGATGCTACCACCGTGGGTTGACAAACTGGATCACTGGTCATCTTGGAGCTTTCGGATGGATCTGTCTTTCCAGTTGTAGCAGCAGCGCTGGCAGCATGCTGTCCAGTAACGCCAGGCCATTCCAGGAGCAGCGCAGTCCTCTAAAGGGGAGAAGAAAAACATAAAAACAAACATGTGATGTGATTCTGGCACGGATGTGAAACAATTTAATCTGTGGAGTCGTCACCCGTCATCGAGGGTCAGATGGCCACATCGGAGGAATTCTTGGACGTCAGTGGAAGAGTTGAAGATGTCACACAGGGTCAACTGTGGACTGAACAGCTGCCAGTGCTGTTAAATGCCACCGCATTGACAATTATAAACTGTAAATTCTGTTTATCAAACTGTGATGTCATGTGGCCTTTACACCACAGATGACTTTGTGGATTTCATCATCTGCTCGCCTAAGTTTGTAGATATGTTCTCGTAAGCCCAGTTGTTGAGGTCCACACCAACATGGGAACCGGAAATGTTCAATGTTAGTCGAATGTTTTTATCGAAAAGAGCTAGGACTATTGCAAATTGTACTGTTTTGAAGAGAAGGGATATGTTATTACAATTACCGTAGCCGAATTATTTAATTGGTTTGACTTCCTTCATAAGGAAGCGAGCCTTGTTGAATGCCAGCAGTTAACTCTCACAGCAAATAATTGTGACATTTATGTAGAGTGCGATGTAAAATGATGTGGACTGAGTAGAGTGCCTTGATGAACATTGCTAATATCTATCTGTCATTAATAGCATTGAAAAGTTGTATGTTGGAACCGTCATAAATTGGGGATCCCCAGTATCTATCTGCTATTCATCTGTCTGTTATCTATCTCTTTATTGATATGGCTATGTATCTTTTTGTATTTAGACTTCCACTAGTTTTCTTCTGTCAGGCCAGGCAATGTAAAAATTTGTGGTAGTCACAGACCAATTATCGGATGGGTCTCATTATTGGGGCCGATATTGAACATTTTAGTGTGTTGGCCTTTTTTTAAAAATCCAATGGCTCCTAGGCAAGCAGTTAAAAACTGCAATATTTTGCGATTCTAAGTTCTTTGCTGGCACCTCACGCTGGTGTCCTGCTGCCTAGTAGTTGTATTGAGGATGCATTTTTTTTTTTGTTTTTGAACTTAAAGACAAAAATTGACAGATAGGTGAACGATTCAAATTTCAATTATATTGATTTAAAAAAAATTTTTTTTACCTTACTGTGGAAAATTTGAGGGAGCTATTTGTTTGTTGACATGCTGCTGTCCTGCACTTTTTGTAAGAATTTTAATACAACGGTGTCTATTTTCTAAGAGTGAAAAAACTTTTTACATGTTACAAATCTCAAAAGCTGGTCAGTCAACATGTTCTTAAAGACATTTAAGCAATCTTAGATGTTGTTTGTATCATTATTATTAGTCTTTTTTTTACGACAATATTTGCAGTTTTACCGTAAAGGTATATTGGTTTTCAAGTATCAATTATCGGGCTCCTTAACTAGTAATCTGTATCGTTATCTACCCTGAAAAAAATCATATGGACCTAGTAGACAGCCATTTGGAACACTAAAAAAAAGGAAAAATGAAACTGACACTTCTAGGGTAATAAATATGAAACAATTATGAAAAACATTAAGTACAACAGTAAATGAGTGTGGCGATGTATTGTTCCACCACGATGCAAACCAAGGACCCCTTGTAATTGACTCTGTGGCATATGATGATTTTACCACATCACCTCGTGCGTGATGCCTTCTGTCATTCTCAATCCCATCACCAACACCTCCTCCAATCTGCCAACCAGAGAGAATGGTTCAGAAATAACAGGAACATGACAGTGCCCGTAAATGTGCTGATGACATTCTTTCTCATGGAGAGTGTGACTGCAAGGACACATGTGCGCGGCGACCGCAAAGTTGTTTGTCCCAGCTGGTGGTGCATGCATACTATTTGTTACAATTCACAATACGTGCCTCACGTGTCACGCAACACATCTCTGGGTGTTCGTGCAGAAGCTCACAGTTCAAGATGTCCCAGCTGAATCCTCCTCCGAGTGGCGTGTCCACCCTGCTGGACCTCGCGGATCCACACGTCGGGTTCCAGTGTTTGGGTGCGGGCCTCTCGGTGCGTGCCTCCCTCCCCAAGTGGAACGAATCGCCCGTGGGCTCCTGTTATGGACAAGAAATTCTCAGCGCTCCCTTTGAGGGTCACAGCTTTGAAGAGTAGGTTACCTGGACCAACACCAATGTATTGTCTTCCCTTCCAGTAGCTCAGGTTGTGATGACTCACTGCACTCTGTCGAAAAAAGTTTACAAAGTGGTCTCAGTATGGATTTCCACAAATTTAATTTGTGACCTGATCAAGCTCACAATAAATCAATTTTTGCCATTGAAATGACCGAAAACCACGAAATCAATCCACCCCCGACCAAAAAACAAACATTTCAAGGTATTATTAATGAACAAAAATAACACCCAATAACACAAATAACGCATTAAAACATAAAAGAAAATATAAGAAATCTAACTGCTTTTTTAGGGTAATTAATATTCGTGCTTTCAAGGGCTGTGGCCAAGTGAGTGATGTCAACAGCCGGAGTTGGACTGGCCAGCATCTGAGTTGTGGCCTATCGCAGCTCCTTGTGTACTTATTTGGATCTGAGTGTTTTGATTGTTTGTCTCATTCAAAAAAGAGCTGAGAGTACATTTACAACTTTGGCTCACCTTGCCCACATGTGAGGGCATCACAGTACCTTCATTATGGTACTCCATTCTTGTATTCCTTTCACTTTAGCAGTAGCATAAGTTAAGGTTGCTGATGACTGAAATTTTGGCATGCAACAAGTAAAAAAAAAAAAAAAAAAACCAAAACACCCAAGCGATGGGTCGTAATATGTTTAACTCCTCATTTGGAGCACTCTTTAGTCAACGAGTTCTTGAAAACAAACAAACAAAAAAAAAGCAACATTCATCCTGACTTCAAGTGAAACTTGTGATAAGTGTAAATAATTTGCTTCAGAAGCATCATACACCACATATCAGACAGTGTAGAGTATGAAGTGCTGCGTTCATGAGGGGAAAATGGTTTTACCATCTTTATGGGCATGCACCCCCCCCCCCACACACACACACACTCTGGGTTCTGCTTGCGAGAGACTAGTTGCAAGACTCATGTTGTTGTCATGGTAACAAAACACAGGCTGTCACTAGCCCAGCTGTATATTGGCCATTATGAGAGCTGTGTCACTTGCTTGAGATGGAAACGGCCTCATTTCTCTGAGACAAGAAATGTACGCTATGATACTTGATGCTTGGTGTATTTTGATGAGCGCATGCCACATGTGTCATGAAAGACATGGGAAATAAGAAAACCCTTATTTGTCTCACAAAGGAGAAATTCCCAATTTACAGCAGCAAAATTATAAAAGGGAGAAGTAGAAGAACAAAAGTGTATTTCTATAAAATATACATATATAAAAGAACATAAAGTATCTAAATAAATATAAATTATAAAATGTTTTCAAAAGTGGAAAAATGCCTCATATGTCTCTTAATTTTCCAATGCAAACTCACCAGGCTGTTTTTATGCTCTTTCTGAAAAGACCCAAGATGGTGCCAGTCTGATATAAAAGTAGAGCTTGCCTGCCACTTTGTGACATCCAGGTGCTAACGATGTTGAACTGAACGGAGGAGCATCTATTAGACGGGCCAAAGCGCTGTTTACTATAAAAATCATGGTTTGGCTCCATCTTGTGACATCTATTTTAATTCTAAATTCGGTGTCAATTACTTGCAGATTTCCACTATTCACAGTAAGGCTCGTTTTTCGACAGACAACTCACATTTCTGGCAAAGTTCGACACTTCATATTGGAGAAATCCATGCTGGTGCAGCATCCTCCTGGCGCTCTCGTACATATCTGCCGTCTCGTGGTCATCGGGCAGCGTCACCTGGGCGCTTTGTAGCTGTTTAAACAGCAGAGTGCCTCGCTCGGGCGTCAGCTGGTACAGGGAGACGTGGTCGTCGCAGGCCCGCAACAGCTCTGACAACTCCGCCTCCCATGATGCCGTGCTCTGCCCGGGCCGCCTGAACATGATGTCTACGGACACCTTCCCAGGGCATAATTTGCGAGCATCCTCGACAGTTCGCAGGGCTTGATGAGCGTTGTGGTCTCGGCCCAGCCTTGTTAAATCCTCATCCAGGAGAGACTGGAAAAAGAAGTGTCATGCTCAGATTGTGTCCAATTGATTTTTTGGGGAAAGCGAGTGATTCACAACAACAGTGAGGGAAATAATACATTTTAACTTAGCTGGCCCCCACAAATAATAATAATTTACAAAGGGTGACAGGCAGAACAAATAAGTGCTCTTCATAATGGCAGAAGGAACAATGGACCCGTGTTTCCACTTGTTTCCATTCATAGAACATTTTGCCATTCATAGAACACAAAACAATATACAGACGCTCCCCAGCTTACGAACGAGATACGTTCCGAACGATCGTTCGTAAGTTGAATTCGTTCGTAAGTTGCTTCAGTGCTATATTTTGTATGGAATGTATGTTTAAGGCTTATATAAGTATGTCTACTTGCTAATGATCGTCAAATGCATCGGCACTGCACCTTTCACGTGTTCCATTATGCGATCTTTCTGTTTATAAATGGTACCGACGGTCGAACGATTCATGTTGTATGCATGTGCAACGCTCACCATTTTCTCACCCGCATCAAGCTTCTTTATTATTGCCACTTTCATTTGAAATGAAATGGCTTGCCTCTTCTTGACACTTCCACTCTCACTAGAAGCCTTTCGCTTTTCACCAACCATATTGAATAATGGATGCACGAGATATTTAACAACCGGGCAGAGGAAGCCGGATTCGGGGTGGATGCTGGGCGAGCTCTCACAGCGCCTCACGTCGGTATTAGCGGCGGAAAGAAGCACTACACCTGTACTGTACTCGGAAAAAGGCGCGCAATACAAAATCTAACTTTTTCTTTTCTTTTTCGACATACCCGTAAAAATGTTCGTATGTACCGTTGTTCGTAACTCGGATGTTCGTAAGTCGGGGAGCGTCTGTAGTTTGCATTCAACTAAACAGGCCCAGATTTCACAATAAGTAAATTTGTGAGTAAATTAAGATGAGTTCATCATTCTTTCAGTGGCGTAAATGTCACCAAGCCTTCCCACGAAAATACATGAGTGATCTTCAATGTACAGTGCAAACTGCCATGAGATGGTGCCAAAGAACTACCTTTCTATTATCCAGGCATTTAGCATCATCTTGTGGCATTAAAGAGTATTTCAGCAAGTTTTTCAAGGACTAACAGAGAAAAACAACCTCTGAATAGGTGGTAAATTGCAAATAGACAGGGCAACACTTGATCGAGTATTGAAGTAAGATTTACTTGGAGTCCTATGGAGAAACGGTTCACCCCAGCGTGGCTAAAATCCTTCAATTTTGTCCTCCCCTCCGGAGTGGGATTGACTTCAAGTGAAACTTCAGCCTCGTCTGCCAGACTCGTCCGCCTGGAGATCGCTTCCAAGATGTCCGAGACAGTGGAAGGGTGAGCCAGGCTTGGAGTTCCGCCGCCAAAAAACACAGAGGTGACGCTGCAAGGACAAAGCAGGTGAAATGGCAGAAAGCAAGTGTTGTGTATCTGTAGAACATATGAAAAGGCCTTACCAGGACACCTTACTGAGCTGCAGCAGCGTGTCCACCTCCTGCTGAAGACACTGGCTCACTATGTGGTTGTTGTCATCTTTGGGGATGTACTTATTAAAGTTGCAGTAAGAGCACCGTTTGAGGCAAAAGGGCCACTGGGAGAAAGAAGGGGAATACTGTAATGCATTACTTTATCACAAATGAATTGTTGTAACTGTAGAGAGATGCTAATGGCAGAACACTGCAGGTCATTTTTTCCCACTTGTTCAAATCAAATTGCGATCATTTCAAACTACGAAGTGTCTTACGTGTACGTAGAGAGACGCTTCCTTAAGGAGACTCTCATGTTGTGCAAATTCCGATCCGTCCTCTGTGAATAATTGTCCGCTGCGAAGCCCAGAGAGGCAGCGTTGACCGGTTCCTGCTCCCAGCATACGTCCCCCCACTCTCAACGTGTGCCTCATTGTTTGTTGAAGCGCACGATTTATCATAGTTCAGAGTCACTGTTTTGTACAGACTGTCAGAGGAAAATATACCTCCACTTGAGTTCAATTTTGCGAGTGGAGGCTGGCTTGACCGCAGAAATACAAAGGTACGGAAATTACATGCGATGCTGTGGCTGTTAGCACGGCAAGGTTAGCACACAATTACCCTGTGTCAAGTAGCGCGAGACACAAGCGCTATATCCTCGTACGCATGGCGGAACCCTCCGAGTGGTCCTGGCAGACAAAGACGTGATACAGTATCGGGACAAAGTGAGGAAGCGGTACATGGTGACAGTGAAGAAGAGACACTCGGAAGCAGCTGTCAACCAACTACCTGGTGCTACTAGTAATGGGTCCAGCACAGCGATGCGTTGACGCATGCGTCGGGCTCACAGAGTAATCCACGGGTCGGTGCTTGTGCTGCTTCATTACATCACGTGAGCGACACGTGAACTGCACCGGCCCAGTCGAGACCAGTGTTTTTCAAACTTTTTTGAGCCAAGGCACACTTCTTTCATTGGAAAAATCTCGCGGCACACCACTAGCTGAAAATGTGAAGAAAAAAAAACGCTTGTTTGAATAATTAATCTGTTATATTGTTACTATAACCGTTTTTACCATTGAAGAATGACATTATAACAGCTTGAATTGGAATCAAATGAACACAAAGAAAAAAATATTTTCTCATTTTTCATATTTATTGTTTCACCGTCATCCTGCATTCATGCGTCTCAAATTCGCTTTTCTCTCGTCTAAACACAAGGCAATTGTCTAGCTGTTGCTGCTCCCTAGCGGTATGGGAGGGTACTATACGATTACTTTGTGGGCGATAGACTGAACAGGCATACAAATTGGATATTTTCCCGCGGCACACCTGACAATGTCTTGCGGCACACCGGTGTGCCGCGGTACAGGGGTTGAAAAACACTGGTCTGGACTTCATCGGCTGTGTCAACACAGTCTAGGCTGCTTGGCACAGTCCAGGCTGTGCCACTTAGTCCAGGGGGCGTTGACGTAGCAAAAGCCCGCCACACAGTGTTTATAAGGAAGCGCGTCTAGCGACGCGATGCCACTTGCCGAAACAAGCCAGACTTCATCCTCGCTCGAATAAAACTTTATTTTGGGGCAAAACTGAAAATACACAGATTACCAGAAAAACGTGTACGTCTGACTTCGAGCGTCGTGTCGGCTGTCATATACTAGGCTATTATTATATGATAAGTGCTTTATGAAAGTTTGTACTGTACGTCATACTCCAGTTGATTGAGAGGTCCCGCCTATACGGGGGAGTTCCAGAAAGTGACTGCGAGTGAGCTCACCGCATGTTTGATGACTCTGCCACGTTGTTATTAAAAGTCACATAAAACGTAAACCTTGTCGGCTGACCATCATTACATCGGCTAGGCTAGCTTATCTGTTGTCGTAGTTCAAATCTATAATATGTGGCTTGGGTTACGTCGGCGCCGTGAGTACGTGCTCGCGCTCACGCCCGCACAGCAGAAAGCAGCGGACTATCAACTTTTTTTTTTTTAATAGAATCTTTATTCGAACAAGTTATAATACAATTCTCAATAAACAGAAAACAAAATGAACATGTTATTAATACATACACATATTACAAACATTTAAACAAAAAAGAAGCCAGGGGATTTAAACAAAAATTTCAAATAAGGAGCATATAGCCAGAGTTTTAATAGCTTTCTTGTTTTTAGAATCCATAATAGAACTTAGGTACTGCTTTATTTCTGTTTCAAAAATTAAGAAAGGAGGTTTTAAATTACTCCATCTGGATTTGTGGATAT